ATATTACGTGTGCTCCAACAAAGATTTTCATTTTAGAGTCTATTAGGGAATGGGCGCTCTAAAACTCAAGTAATGTAGAACGATCACGAGATGCCAAAATTTACTTAGAAACATAATGACATCAAATACTCAAAACGACGGCCATCTGGTGTGCAAGCGACTTCAAAATGTTATGTCTGCAAGGAAAAAAGCCAGCCTCTCTCCCTCCCCGTGCACGCACGACAAAGGTTTTGGCTCGTGGTGCACCTGCACCCCAGTTAAATCGGAATAAATATTCAAAACAGCGCCAGGCAATCTCCTTCGCTGAACTGATAGCAAAACATCCATGTATATTATGTATCAGATACTATTTTACATGTTTTTAGCAGAATTTTTAAATGCGCATTATCGACTATATTTGGTAGTATGTCGGTTGCTTGCTATATTTCTAATTAGTCCCACCTCGCCAATGGAGGGAGGCGGCGGGGAGGGAGCTTTGCATAAGAAGGGGAGGGAGGGAGGCGGGAGGAGGCATCTTTGCGCTTGGGGCAATGATGCAGCTAGTGAGGTTATACCGAGGCGCGTCAATTGCTGGTTGAAAACTATTTCCAAACCCCCTCTTTGGCCCTTTGAGGCCACTGAGAATTTCTGGAAGGGATCCCTCTCCTTCGGGCGAGGGTAAAGCCCTGCAGTACATAATAAAAATATTTTGTTTGCGCAATGCACGTAGAATGCTAAATGCTCACTCAAAAAGAAAAAGAATGCTAAGTGCAATTTCAAAGGTTGCCAATCGGTTTCAAAATAAAGACTTGGCCAAGGACAATGATTTCATTCGCTTGTCATTTCAAATTACACATTGCGAAGATTTTAAGGGCACATTAAAGAACATTAATTTAGCATGAAAAATTCACATCAAGAAGACACAATGCTTCTCCCTAAGAAATTCATACTCAAGCATTCCAGGCAAAATTTGATGTCCAAAAATTATAATAGAAGATATTATGTGTGCTCCAACAAAGATTTTCATTTTAGAGTCTATTGGGGAATGAGCACTCTAAAACCAAATTAATGTAGAACGATCACGAGATGCCACAATATACTTAGAAACATAATGACATCAAATACTCAAAACGACGGCCATCTGGTGTGCAAGCGACTTCAAAACGTTATCTACGCAAGGAAAAAAGCCAGGCTCTCTCCCTCCCCGTGCAGGCACGACAAAGGTTTTGGCTCGTGGTGCAGCTGCACCCCAGTTAAACCGGAATAAATACTCAAACCAGCGCCAGGCAATCTCCTTCGCTGAACTGATAGCAAAACATCCATGTACATTATGTATCAGATACTATTTTACATGTTTTTAGCGGAATTTTTAAATGTGCATTATCGACTATATTTGGTAGTATGTCGGTTGCTTGCTGTTTTTCTAATTAGTCCCACCTCGCCAATGGAGGGAGGCGGCGGGGAGGGAGCTCTGTACAAGAAGGGGAGGGAGGGGTGTGGGAGGAGGCATCTTTGCGCTTGGGGCAATGACGCAGCTAGTGAGGTTATACCGAGGCGCATCAATTGCTGGTCGAAAACTATTTCCAAACCTCCTCTTTGGCCCTTCAAGGCCACTGAGAATTTCTGGAAGGGATCCCTCTCCTTCGGGCGAGGGTAAAGCCATGCAATACATAATAAAAATATTTTATTTGCCCAATGCACGTAGAATGCTAAATGCTCACTCAAAAAGAAAAAGAATGCTAAGTGCAATTTCAAATGTTGCCAATCTGTTTCAAAATAAAGACTTGGCCAAGGACAATGATTTCATTCGCTTGTCATTTCAAATTACACATTGCGAAGATTTTAAGGGCACATTAAAGAACATTAATTTTGCACCAAAAATTCACATCAAGAAGACACAATGCTTCTCCCTAAGAAATTCATACTCAAGCATTCCAGGCAAAATTTGATGTCCAAAAATTATAATAGAAGATATTATGTGTGCTCCAACAAATATTTTCATTTTAGATTCTATTGGGGAATGAGCTCTCTAAAAATCAAGTAATGTAGAGCGATCACGAGATGCCAAAATTTACTTATAAACATAATGACATCAAACACTCAAAACGACGGCCATCTGGTGTGCAAGCGACTTCAAAACGTTATCTCCGTAAGGAAAAAAGCCAGGCTCTCTCCCTCCCCATGCAGACACGACAAAGGTTTTCGCTCGTGGTGCACCTGCACCCCAGTTAAACCAGAATAAATACTCAAACCAGCGCCAGGCAATCTCCTTCGCTGAACTGATAGCAAAACATTCATGTACATTATGTATCAGATACTATTTTACATGTTTTTAACAGAATTTTTAAATGCGCATTATCGTCTATATTTGGTAGTATGTCGGTTGCTTGTTGTTTTTCTAATTAGTCCCACCTCGCCAATGGAGGGAGCTCTGTATAAGAAGGGGAGGGAGGGGTGTAGGAGGAGGCATCTTTGCGCTTGGGGCAATGACGCAGCTAGTGAGGTTATACCGAGGCGCATCAATTGCTGGTTAAAAACTATTTCCAAACCCCCTCTTTGGCCCTTCGAGGACACTGAGAATTCCTGGAAGGGATACCTCTCCTTCGGGCGAGGGTAAAGCCATGCAATACATAATAAAAATATTTTATTTGCCCAATGCACGTAGAATGCTAAATGCTCACTCACAAAGAAAAAGAATGCTAAGTGCAATTTCAAAGGATGCCAATCGGTTTCAAAATAAGTACTTGGCCAAGGACAATGATTTCATTCGCTTGTCATTTCAAATTACACATTGCGAAGATTTGAAGGGCACATTAAAGAACATTACTTTTGCACCAAAAAATCACATTAAGAAGACATAATGCTTCTCCCTAAGAAATTCATACTCAAGCATTCCAGGCAAAATTTGATGTCCAAAAAATATAATAGAAGATATTATGTGTGTCCCAGCAAAGATTTTCATTTTAGAGTCTATTGGGGAATGAGGTCTCTAAAAATCAAGTAATGTAGAACGATCATGAGATGCCAAAATTTACTTAGAAACATAATGACATATCACAACAGCCCCACTGACAAGGTACATCCCTGCAGCAGTCTATTGTTTGATGTGATGATTACAACCACACACAACCTTTTTCTTCTTCACGGAATTATATCTAACCATTTTTGTTACGAGAGATCATATCTAACCATGTAATCATTGAGATCTTGATTTGATCCATTCTTCTCTCACGATACTTAAAAGACATACTTAAAGTGTTATATTTTCATGAACACTTGAAAGGTTCAAGGCTAGCTCAATTAGCGAGAGATGTGAAAATCAATTTTTGTGCAAGAAATCATATGTAACTTTCTGAATCATACTCAAGATTCTTCTTTAACAAAAAGCTCAAAGCATCATATTTTTTGTCAACAACTCGAAGGACCGAGTCTACTTCAATTAGGAGTTGTTGTGTGATTTTTTTTGCTAGGAATCATTTATGCCTTCCTCAATCATACTCGAGATATATGTGGACTTTACTAAGAGTTTTGTTCCTAACTAATTCAACAACACAATCTCTTGACAAGTCTACCAAGTATCACTATTCATAGATGATATCTATTCGTTCTTTTCCTTAACTTCCAAAACGAGCAATCCGATGGCGATGACACGTCAATCACCATAGCTCCTCTCCACGAAAAGTAATTTATACTGTCAACCAGGGTATTGCCTTGAGAACACCATCAGATTTTTCAACCGCAAAAAAAACCCACCAACTTTTATTGAAACATAATAGTTCAACCTTTTGTTATTCATGTGCTCATATGTAAGTTAAATTTGTCCCGTAATTTCGTCTAGAAATTGTTGATGGCAAATGATTGAGTTCAATTATTACAATATGTACTGCAGGAGAATTCGGTGGATGTAGGCAAGACACAGACATCTTGAGATTGACGAAGTCACCAAACGTGCCTCGTAGTCAAGGGAAAAGTCCCCTCTCACTGAACAGATATCGCCAAAAAACCTAAAAAAACAGGAAAATACAAGCACTATTGCCAAGTTTGAAACTTCAACCCCGGAGGGTCGGTTCGGCCACAGAGAACCTAAGCATATGAGCTACGCTCAGTTCGCAATTTTAAAAGACACTTAAGATGTCATATTTTATCAAAGACTTCGACGTACCAAGCCTCGCTCAATAGGCAGGAGTTGTGAAAATCATTTTTCACCCCGAATAATGACATATGTTGAATTTATACGGTTCCCAACTAATTCAGCAACACAACCCCGTGACAAGTGCACCGAATATGACCATTGACAGATGATATCTAGCCGTCCTTTTCTTTAATACCAAAAACATGCAATTTGATGGCGACTGCATGTCAATCACCATAATAAGCCCCTCTACACGAAAAGTAACTCACTGTCAAGCAGGAATCTCCACCAGCCCATCTCGAACAATGATAATTCCAGTTTTGTTACTCGTATGCTGCCTTTTTATGCCTCTTCACCACTTGTGGTTGGAGTAATGTGCCGCTCTAGTCATGCTTTTGTAGTCATGGTATGGCTGTTTTCATGCTTTATATGCCGCTCGGGGTTGTATCTGCCATATTGGCACTTCCTCTAAGCCTTTTCATGGTGTATCCTTGAAAAAAATGCTGCCTTTTTATGGAAGATTTTCTTTGTCTCGTATCAAAGTCAAATTTGTCCCACAAATTTGAGTGGAAAATGCTGTGGCACATGATAGAGTTTATCTTTTGAAAATTGTTACATGGAGGTTAAAATGTAAAAATCTCCACATGACGACGATCAACACGGGACCTCAAAATCACGATGGAAGGCGCTTAAAGGCGGAGGACACCGCGTGGGCTTCGTTCTCACGGATCCCACATCGATCGGTCGATCCCCACTGTTTTATAGGCGCAGCTGCTGCCCTCCCAACCGATAGCCAAAGTCCAACGCCTCCCACAATTCGCGCAAAGGCACCCAGGGCCGGACCCCCCCGACCCGCCCCCCACCCCACACCCGGCCCAGGACGGCGGCGATGCCCCCGACGACGCCCCAGCGCCGGAAGCAGGACGAACCGGGCGGCGGCGGCGACAACTGGCGCGAGGAGGCCGTGTCCGCCGGCTCGCTGCGCCAGGTGGACCTCGACAGGGGCTCCAACGGCTGGGCCGCGCCGCCGGGGGACCTGTTCCAGCTGCGCGCGCGCGGCTACTTCTCCGGCGGCGGCGGGAAGCGCGGCAAGTCGGCCGCGTCGGCGGACTGGCTCCTCCGCCCCGCCGGCGTCGACTGGCTCCGCTCCCACGCGCGCCTCGACCACCTGCTCGCCCGCGACGACGTCCCCGTCGCCGCCGCCTTCCGCCGCGCGCGCCTCCGCAAGGACCCCAACGCCCACTTCCTCCTCGCCGTCAATCTCCAGGTCCCGACCCGATCGATCGCATCTAGGCCTAGGAAGGAATCCGGAGATAAAATTAAAAAAAATCGTTTTTTTTTCTTCTCTTCCTGTGTGATGGCCGCCTGATTTTGAGACCCCGCGTTGCGTTGCCTTCCTCTCCAGGTCCCCGGCCGGCCGGACGCGTACAGCTCGGTCTTCTACTTCGCGGCGGAGGCGCCCATCCCGCCGGACTCGCTGCTCGGGCGCTTCGTCTACGGCGACGACGCGTACCGCAACGCCCGCTTCAAGATCGTCAACCGCATCGTCAAGGGCCCCTGGCTCGTCCGCGCCACCGTCGGCAACTACGGGGCGTGCCTCCTGGGCCGCGCGCTCACGTGCCGCTACCACAGGGGCGACGACTACCTCGAGATCGACGTGGACATCGGCAGCTCGGCGATTGCCACCGCCATCCTGCATCTGGCGCTGGGCGCGGTCACCTCGGTGACCATCGACATGGGCTTCCTTGTCGAGTCCCAGTCCGAGGAGGAGCTGCCCGAAAAGCTCTTCGGCGCAGTGCGCATCGCGCAGATGGAGATGGGTTCGGCGAAGTACGTGGAGACGGCGTCTGATGAGCCTGAGACCGCCGGCAAGGCACAGCCGGGGTTCAGGGTTGGCTCGGCGAGGGTTGCCAATGATAGCCGCCACCAGGAACGCACCAGCGGCAAGGCCAGCAGGTCGATGAGCTGCCAGGAACGCCTGGGCGGAGGTGAGGGCTCAAATTACTCCTGACATGTTCTTCATACCAGTGTTAGATATTTCAATGCGGCTAATTTGACCACTTCTATATGATGACCGGGCATGAACTCGATGCTACAAACTTATACTCCCTCCGTTCCGAATTACTTGTCGCACGTATGAGTGTATCTAGATGTATTGTAGTTCTAGATACATCCATTTCAGCGATGAGTAATTTGGAACGGAGGGAGTATATGATATAGAGTAGTAGCTGACGAATTCGTTCGGTGTTAGCATATGCCACTGGATAATAATTCCATGATTCTGTCAGTTATGGCTGATATTTAGCTCAGCTGGCCTTACAACAGCATGAGAGTGATGACATTGGCAGTGCCGTTTCAAGTTTTCAACGCATTCCTATTATCTTAAGAGTAATGCTTGATCTGTTGGCTGGGGATATTATAATTTTTCCAAGGTTGATGTGTGCAAGTTTCTTTTGTGTCTAGTTAATTGATCTTGTGTTGGGACGAAAGGGAATATGTGGACTGTGCTCGAGGGATCTGATATTGTAGGCTAATTAGTACAGTCATTGAAACAATATTCAGGAGGCAATTCCAATTATTTAATGATGAGGTCCAAGATTGGGATATGGGGTGATGGTACTAACAGTTGGCAAGATTGTGATATGGGGTGAAGGTACTACTAACAGTTTCCAAGATTAATGTCGTGTATAGGAGCTTAGGATCTTCAATGGCCTCAACTTCAACGATTTTATAGGTGCCCGGTACTGGCTTGCAGATGGTTTTACATTTGAGTCACTTGTCTAGAAGGAACATTTCTGCCTGACAGCAGAGTACTTCAGGAGATATGTGCATTTGCCATGCCTCTCATTGTTCCTGTGTGTCAATTTGATTTCTGTTAACTATTTACATGTTCATCGTGTACTGGTTGTACCCATTCGCCGTCCAGTTTGGCCATGATTCATGTCTTGGAAAAGCACATTGCATTTCCTTGGGAGCGTCCTCTTCATTGCTCCTTTTCTTGCGCGATTAGCTGTTCCGTTGTTTTGAGGGGGAGACACGGGCATGTGTGTGCTCTACACGATCGTGATCAATACTTGTGATCGCAGAAGCTATTTTAGGTGGGGCTGCCGATCAGTTTTTTTGTCCTTGATCGGCTGTCCCATTCGTATTAGAAGTTGATTAGGTGGCGTTGGAGCGTATATAAATGGTGTTCTAGCAAGCAACATCCATGTCTTTATCACTTAGCTGAACTATCATTACTGTTTTAAGCAAGATAACATGGCGTCCTGTAGTACGCAGCACTTTCATTGGCATAACACGCTGCCTGGGCTTCTCTGCCTGATTAGCAGCGACGCAATTCGAGAAGCTTGGAAGTGTGGACATGTTAGCTTTTTCATTCTTTCATTCACTCGTTTCTTTTGCTTGGACAGTTGTTAGCCTGCCTTCAAGCAAAGCCAATATGGTTACTTGTTGTGGCTGTTGTCTGGGGTATAATACAATCCATGAGAATTATAACCTTGTTGTCGAAGATCTAAATAATGGCAATACCGGGTTTGTTAGAGAAACTGTATTTGCTTTTAATTGAAGTTTTGAGGAGATGAAAGTAACATTTGAGTCTCTACCTTGTCAGGAAAATAGGCGTGGAACGCTCAGAGGATGCTGTATAAACCATGGGTTGGAGAAAACGATTCTTCAGTTTGAGAACCGGCGCCGAGAGAGAGCCGAGAAGAGGAAGGCCGGGATATTTATTATATTAATTAAAGAAAAAGGCAAGTTAGTTAGGTGGTGCCACAGAATGCAATGCTCCCTTCATCATCATCATCATCATAATGTGATCAGAGCTGAGACCTGATCGATGGCAAATATTAGTACGTAGATCAGTACTCCTGCTTACACAAGTCCAGTAATGAGATGCCTCGGTTGCTTCGCTTCTGCTATCATTTCCGTACATCTCTGGAAAACCTCGCGTTTCTTTTCTCCCTCCCCTGCCGTTGAAATCCGCGAGTCCATGAATGGCCAGCGGAGGTTCCTGTTTGCCTGTTTTTGGTGTGGTTTTGTCTGATTGTTGATGAACCATTTGGCGATCCACTATCGCTGTTTCACGTGCTGATCGTGCTCTGACGGTGAGTAGTGGAGGTGTGTTGTCATTTATGCCTTTTTTGGCTTTCGGCTGACGGTTTTGGAAGAAAGGAAGGAAGGCTGCGTCGGAAACATGGCGGGACAAGGAAAGCATATCCTGAATTCCTGTCTGTGCAAAGGAAGGAAGAAGGCGGGGAGGGATGGGATGTGACGCGGCCGTGGACCTTTGCAGGCACGGCGAGCGTATCGTATCGTATCGTCGGAATCATCTATCTATCTAAAGCGTAGTGCGGGAAGAATCACTCCGGCCGGCACGGGAGTCGGGGAGTGCACGCTGCTGTCGACGTAATTGTTGTGAGAAATGAGGGTGGATGTGCCACCCGCTGACGGGCCAGGCAAGGACAAGTGCAGACGTCTCGATCCTCCGCTCCGTGTCCGCGCCTATGCAAACCGGACTCAAATTTTGAGCCTGGAATAGAGTCATAGACCCCGTGCGGATAAAAAAGGTAGTTTGGACCTAAACGAACAGTTTGCGTTGTTGGCGCCTTTGAGTTGCTCTTAAAGTACGTAAGACGGTATATGACCCGTAGATCTGGATCGGCGCGGATCGTGTCCAACGCGAAAGCCATACGTACGTACGCTCCACGGGCTCCGCGCCCATGTGTTCTTGCCGACGGATGGGAACGAGGAAGAAGTCCATCAGGCTCGGCATCAGTCGTGTCCAACACAGAGGGGATTAGTTACATAGTAAGACAACTCGCCCATGTGGTTTCTTGTCCTGGCCCAGCTCCCCGCTCCTCCGCCGACGGATTTAGCTTACAGACGACCGTGTCCGTGTGCCGGCCGGCCGGTAAACCTGCGATTTGCCGCGCTCCGAGAGGACGGTGGACGGCCGTTTGACCGGCTTCACGTGAGCCTCTTCTCTAGATTACTTGTAAAACTTCACGTGGGTGGGGATGAGAGGGTTCGGTGACAGGTGGCCAACCGTGCGACGGCGACATGGCCGTGGGCTTGCGTGCGCTGCGGTGCAGTGGACGGTGGGCCGCCGGTGCACTTGCGCCTAGGCGCGCGCGGGGTCGTCGGCGAGCATGCCGCCGCGTGCGTCCTGGGCGGCGCCGCGCGGCACACGGCTGCCGAGCCTTTGTGCGTGTTTTCTTTTCTTTCGAAACGAGCTGCATTTTCTATCAACCGAGCACTGACACTGCACAAAAATTTCTCAAACGAAAAATGAAAATAAAATCCAGTCTTTGGGATGTCCTTCACCATCTTCATCCCCGCACATGATGATGGTATGTCGACAACTGGAGAACAGAAAAAGACAATCCACACGCACAACTCATAACTCACCGATCTTTGTTGACAACTGTGAGCAATGTCAGTCCTGAGGTATCCATGACTAAGAAAAAAAAAGGATGAAACTAGGTCGATCACACCTATAGATGCCCGTTCGAGTTGATGAAATAACCACCGGCATATTGAAGATACAACCACTCCCCTCTTCTGCAGAGGAAAATACAAACATGTCAGGCCGATCTCATTGCTCTGTCTAACTTTTCACACGAGCATTACGTTAAGCATGTTTGTGAAAAAGAATTTAAGAAATGTTTGACTCATTTTGATATTTTTGTTTTCTTTATTTGAATACAATGGGACCCGAGAAACATTGGCTATTTCCGCACGAGGACCACAATATAGTATAGACTTTTGCTTCGGCATATCCCCCCTAAACACATCGATGGTTGAGATATCTCTATACCCCTTCATAATAAAGGGTAGGATAGTCTTTTCACCCGCGCAGATACACGGCACCCTCAGATGTTTTTTTACTTTCTTTTTGAAAGAAAAAAGAGTGCAAATAAAGTGAATCAAACACAAGTCATGTTGTCTAAGGAGTAAGGAGGACCACACTAATCAACTAGGTCATACTAATGCTTGTGTGTATTTAGTTTTTTTCTTCTACTTCAGTTTGCGGCTCGGCCGGCCCATTGTTGAGTAGGTCCTTTTATCACTATTTCTCTTTTGTTTTTTCTTTTTTTTAAAAAAATGCTCACGCTTATAAAATTTTGATCAAAATTTGAAAAAATGTTTATTTTTAAAATTTTGTTCATAAAGTACAAATATTCACATTTAAAGCATTTGTACATATATGCCAAAAAAGTTCGTGTCTTTCATAATTGCTCAGAATGTCATAACACCAACATATTTTAAAAAGAGCAAACAAAATTTTGAACATGGACAATTTTTGGAAAACACTATGAAAATTCAAATTTCAAGCAAAAATGAGAAAACATAAACAAAAATTAGAAAGAAATTTATTTAGAATTTCCGTGAACATTTTTTATATTTGTGTAGAATTTTTTTTAATACAGGATTATTTTGAAATTCCAAATAAATTTTGAAAGCATGAACATTATTGAAAATGCAGAATTGTCAAATCACAAAAACTTGGCATGGTGCCTTAGAATGGTGATACAATTTGGTCCATTTGAACGGTGTCGGAAAAGGGTACTCTGAGACTGAACCTTCCGCCCTACCCGAACTTTTTTCCATTTAATTCGTGGACATTTTCTTAAATTCGCAAACTTTGCTTTCGAACCCCTGATTTTTTTCCATACCCAGGAACTCTTTTCAACTTTTACAAACGTTCTCTAAAAGCCAATAATTTCCTTCAAATGCATAAATATTCTTTTTCAAAATTGACGAACTTTCTTCAAATTGGCAACTGTTTGGGCCGGCCCAACAGGCAACCGACGGAAGTGATGCCGTCGCCCAGTTGGGCAAGGCCTGAATGTACTTTCTTTATTCTATTTTGTCGTTTTTATTTTTTCGTTTATTTCAATTTTTCCTTTTTTAACTATCATTTTTTATAAAACCTGTTTTAATTTTCGAAATATTTTTGGAATACTAACTTTTTTATGGTTTTCAAATAATTTTTACAAATTATAAAAATATTCTGGAACCAAATTTTGAATTTATTTTCCATAAAGTTAATAAATATTTGCGTTTTAAAATGTTGATAATTTTTTTAAAAAAATACGTGGTTCGCAATATGTGTACGACATCAATATTTGGTAATTCATTTACATCTTTGGAAAAAGTGTTCATATTTATAGAATTTTCATACACAATTTGAAAATTTAAAATTGTTGATAATGACAGAA